AACCCAGGTGATGACAACATTCAGAAGTATTTGGGGCCAGGTGCAGTGGCTCATGCCTGTAATCCCAGCACTTTGGGAGGCTGAGGCGTCCAGATCACCTGAGGTCTGGAGTTCGAGACCAGCCTGGCCAACATGGTGAAACCCCATCTCTACTAAATATACAAAATTAGCCGACCGTGGTGGTGCATGCCTGTAATCCCAGCTACTTGGGAGGCTGAGAAAGGAGAATCGCTTGAACCCGTGAGGTGGAGGTTGCAGTGAGCCGAGATCGTGCCATTGCACTCCAGTCTGGGCAACAAGAGTGAGATTCTGTTTCAAAAATAAAAGAAAACTGGCAAATTCCTCTTAGCTATAATTTAGCTAATTTTAGATGAAATAATAACAATGACGTGAAAACTTTATTACAGACATTTCAAAGCATCCAGTTAACATTTCATACAGTATAAGCAGAGAACTGAAAGAAATGGAAAGAATTGAAAGAAAGTTTAAAGGGATGAGGAATGGGGTACTGTATTATAGTAATCACGTTATTCAAAAAGTCTGCAAGTCCTTGCTGTGACTTCTGAAGTTGTGGCCAGATAGAGGCAGAAACCAAAATAATTCTTATTTCACATTTCCAGCCTAACTTCTCTTCCTGAGTTTAGTCTATTAAAAATATCATATGACACCAACGTTCATAGTGGCATTACTGAAAATGGCCAAAAGGTGGAAACAACGCCAATGTCCACCAACAGATGAGTGCATAACAAAATGTAGTATATATGCACAACGAAATATTATTCAGCCTTAAAAAAGAACAAAGTACTGATCCATGCTACAACATGGATGAGCTATGCAGAGATGCAAAGCGAAAAAACCAGATACAAAAGGATACAGATTGTATGACTCCACTTATATGAGGTACTAGAACAGGCAACTTCATAGAGACAGAAAGTAGAACCATGGTTACCAGGGCTGAGAGGAATGGAGAATGGGGAGTGACTGCATAATGGGTACAGAGTGTCTGATTGCGATGATGGAAAATTTGGGAAATGGAAAGCGATGATAGTTGTATAATATTATGAATGTACTTAGTGCCACTGAATTGTATACTCAAAATGGTTAAAATGATAAATTTTATGTTATGTATATTTTACCACAAAAAAAAAAAAAAGACATCAAAATCAGAACTACCGGCCAGGCGCGGTGGCTCACACCTGTAATCCCAGCACTTTGGGAGGCCAAGGCGGGTGGATCACAAGGTCAGGAGATCGAGACCATCATGGCTAATACGGTGAAACCCCATCTCTACTAAAAATACAAAAAATTAGCCAGGCTTGGTGGCGGGCGCCTGTAGTCCCAGCTACTCGGGAGGCTGAGGCAGGAGAACAGCGTGAACCCGGGAGGCGGAGCTCGCAGTGAGCCAAGATCGCACCACTGCACTCCAGCCTGGGCGGCAGGCTCCGTCTCAAAAAAAAAAAAAAAAAAATTCGGAACCACCTCCCTTCATTTTTCAGTTGGAATCTCTAAACTGTATTTTGTTCATTCATTCCCACTAAAGCTGAATTTCTTCTCAAGACCTGCTTAAAGCTGACAGTGTCATGGACAATCTACATACATTCATACGCACAGGTACACAGCCACACACAGACTACTTTGTGTCCTGCAGTGACCCATCCACAAACAGTATCCACCCCAAGACTTTGCTGATCACTCCAACAAGAAGGCCCATGGCAAGCACTACTGGAGATCCAGGTAACCAAATGAACACCCCTTCAATTTCTCACCATGGGGGAATATGTGTTCAGTATATAGATATTTTATCTATAAAGAAAACTGCGTGCATATATACCAGAAAGACCATCGGGAATTGCTCACCCAAGTCTGTTCCACCACACCCATGAACAAAGAGATTTCAGCCCATATATGGCTATTTTGGTGAAGTTAGCGATTTCAAGTTACACTGAACAGTGGGTGTCCTTAATGCAAATGCATATAATTAGGAGCTAAATCTTTGTACCTTTATAGGTACAAAGGACCTAATAAGCTGGATGTACCACCTGTGACTTCTGAGGAAAGGAGAGCTTTTCATTTTTTCTTAAAAGAATCCGTTTCTCAGCCAGGCGCGGTAACTCACGCCTGTAATCCCAGCACTTTGGGAGGCCGAGGCGGGCAGATCACGAGGTCAAAAGATCGACACCATCCTGGCCAACATGGTAAAACTCTGTCTCTACTAAAAATACAAAAATTAGCTGAGTGTGGTGGCACGTGCCTGTAGTCCCAGCTACACAGGAGGCTGAGGCAGGAGAATCACTTGAACCTGGGAGGCGGAGGTTACAGTGAGCCAAGATCACACCACTGCACCCTAGCCTGGTGACAGAGTGAGAATCCATCTCAAAAAGAAAAAAAAAAAAAAAAAAGAATCTGTTTCTCATGAGGCAAAGAGAATCTGAGAACAACAGTCTTCTGAAATAGACATAGGGACTTGGGGGAAAGGATGTGAGTTTTGTATGTGATAGTCATAACCCATCACCCAGACCTGAGAGGTGCCATCCTGTGCCATACCATGACCTTTACTCAACTTTAATTTAAAGATTTCCACAGCCTCACCATCTTTTGTGGACATGTTGCCAGTAGCCTGATAACTGGGTCTTGCAAGCATTTAGAGATCTCAAGAGTTTGTATGTGAAGAAAAATAATCTCTAGTGATGCTTCCCACTGCCAACACACACGAACATTTAACACAAGTAAGCTGCCACTTGTAAAAAGTCCACTTGACATCAATCCCTTGTGCATCCTGAAGACACATGTCAAGATCACACAAGATTTTAGAAGCAAACATTTTTAGAATAATGTTTTGTTCCCAAAGTGCTTAATTAGCAGAAACACTGTGCTAGGGAACTGTCCTTGAATATGCACACATTTTAACCTTCATGTTATTTTTTCTGAAGCACAAAGTTTCCTCTCAGTGGATGGTCAGGAAATGATTGGGCACAGAAAACCAACCATCTGAAGTGTTGATTCGTAAAATGAGTTCCATCTTTCCACGCAGTATTCAGCTGCCTTCCAGGGTGACATTCCCTTTATGAGGGGGACCATTCTTTGGCATCTAATGACCTTTTCTCTATTCATTTAGGATGAGCAATTCACCTATGGCCTACTTATATCTGAACTCTTTCAATACCACCAACCTCTTCTGTCCCCTTGTGCCATCTTCCTACCCCCAATTTCAACCAATTATGTTTTATAAGACATCAGTTAGTGAATCACAATTCAAATGAACCCATCCATTTGCTTAGCATCAAGTGGCCCCTGGAGTTGCTCCATTTGAAGCCCATAGGCCAGAGTTACATACGGCAGGCTTGCAAATGAGAACAGGGTATGATTTATTTATGACGACCATATGCGTTTGATGCCCAATTCCAGCAGGTTGTGGCTTCTCTTGCATGTCTTGGTCTGGGATGACCTATCTACTCAGTGTGTCCCATTTCAGGTACCGTATTTCCATGCTGGGCAAAGAGAGCTGACGACTGGCTGGGGGGCTGCACATACAGATGCTCCTAACCCTGCTTGCCACATAACAATCTGTGACCAAATGCAAAGTGGGCCAAATGTAACTTGCTGCACAGGTTTGCCATGTACAATGGTTTTCAGTGGTGAGTGGAGAAGTAGCTGCTGGAATGACTGACCATGTGGGGTTCATTAAGCTGTTGTGCATTCACCCATGAGAAAGGCCAGGATGCTTGTGAAGGGAGCTCCACTCTTCATTTCAGAAATTTTAACGCCCCACCATTTGGCAGTGATGCTCCCGGGGAGAATGGCAGATATGCATCAGAAGGTTCAAACGTGGAGTCCAACTGAAGTGCAGTAAACTTCTGCCTTCAACAGTCTCACCCCCCTTTACCCCCCAGTTGTATTTATACTTTGAAAGAAGTTAACATGAAGCAGTAGTCACCTGGGCGTGCTCAATTTTTGACAAGCCTTAGTCACTCTGTACCCAGCAGAACAATTCACATTATATTCGAAATCCTGTGAAGATTCTGCCACACATGCTAACACTAAAATGCCAGTAGCTCCACTTACCTTCTTTATTAAGCCTCATAACCTCCCTGCTTTTTCCACCCTCTTTTCCAGCCTCTTCTAAATCTACATCTGCAGATGAAAAAGAAAAGGAAAACAGAAAATAAGGAAAAAAGGGGGGAAAAAAGCCAAAGTCAAGGGGGGAGGGAGAGTGTTTATTTGCAAACAGATCGATATAAATACTGTATATGAAATTCTTTCAAAAACTGACAATGCAACATTTTCTCCCAAGTCCGGGTTTCCATCTACCTGGCCCAGATAGGTACCCAAAAAACTATGCAAGCAGCAACAGAGTAGCCTTTTAAACGGACAACACCGTGGGGCTGCGAGCCCACCCCGCGGGCTGCCACGGGGAGCCGGGCACGGACAGACAGACAGCCCTGGCAGCCGGGCCTCTCCCTGTGCATTGATGATCTGTCTCTGTGTGTATTTATTTAGAGAGAGAGGGAGAAGCATGGAGGACACCGGGGGCCACTCTCTCTCTCACACACACACTTTTTCCCAGTGGCTCTAGGTGAATGGAAAGGTTACAGGATAATAAAAGGAGGAGGAGGCGGTGGGGTTCTTACTGTCGGAGCAGTGTAATTTGGCGGCGTCGATCCAGGAGGACCAGGGTTTGCCCAGAAACGCCTCCGGACTGGGCACTTTGCGATCCAGTGTCGCCATTGCTCTTCCTTCTTGTTGCTTTTTCCCTGTTCCTTCGGCAGCAGCAGCCGAGAGACACGGGATTCGAGAACGCTCCGACGTCATCTTCGGAACGTTCCGACATTGAGTGTTCTGAAAGGGGGAGGGAGGGAGGAAGGGCGGGATGGGAGGAGGGCGGCGGAGGAGGAGGGGAGAGGGAGCGGAGGAGGGGCGGGCGCTCTGGCTCCCGGAGCCAGCTCGGTGGGGCTTGCGCGCCCGCGGCCGCCAGGGGCAGCAGAGAGGCGCCTGCAGTCCGCGCCCGCCCGCCCGCCGGGGGCCGCCCGCCTGCCGGGGAGGGGCCGCACTGACGGGCGAGCGCCGCGTGCCGGAGAGTGGAGGCTGCAGAGCGCCCGGCAGCCGGGATGCAGCGGCGCCGCCCGAGCCCGGGGTGCCAGGGGTCAGGGCACACGGGGAGAGGCCCGACGCGGGGCCGAAGGAAGGGTGGTCTTTCCCGCAGAGTTGCCGCTGGAGGACCGAAAGTTTTTGCAGGCAACCCTTGCTTCCAGCTTGTCCCTCTCTCCCCGGGTCCCTGTCGCCCACCGCGAGGCGCCGCCGCGGTAGACCCGACGGCTTGGCGGGGAGGAGGCATGAGGGGTTGCGACCCCCACCACCACCCGAGCCAGGGAAGGGACCCTGGTGACCTCTCCTCCCAGCCTTCACCCCCGTCACCCCTTTCTTCTCTTTCCTGGAGGACTTTGGACCGTGGAGATTCTGCAGTTGTTGCTCTGGGAGCTGAAACCAGTGGGTAGATGTGGTTCTGAAATGCAGGTGAGTTTGGGGCGTGAGGAGTTACCTTCCCATCTCAGGCTGCGGGGCATGCAAAACTCAAAACTCAGGACCCCGGTCCCCCGGGTTCCACGCGCGGTTCGTGTCTCCGGCTCTCAGAGAACCACTGCGTGGACTTTGCTCAAGGGTCAGCAGAGCGGGAGGGCGAATTCACGGCTCTTGGAAGACAATGCTAACGGGCCTAGCTCCTGAGCCATTTCCAGAGCTCCCTGCCGTGAGACGAGAGTGGCCCGGGTTTGCGCAGGCAACCTTTGGCCAGGAATCTGATTCCTGGGAGAATCCACTTCAGGCTTAACTGCTCTAACCAGCTAGAAAGGGAGCGCTAGATTTCCTCTTGATTTTGGACGTTGGGTGCTTTAGTTGAGATTTTCACCCTTTAAAGAAGGCTTTAAAATGTCTTCTGTTACTTCTTTTTAACAAAGCCTTTGTTTACTAGAATTATCTAAACTATATGGACACCGCCCTCACCCCACAATCGACATATTTTTTTTTCTCTCTCTTTTCCCAGCACCCTTTTAGCTCTCACCACTGCTGTTTCCCAAGTTGTCACAGCTGAAGCGCACTGATTTGAAGTTGCTTTGTACGGACTGAGTTCTGCCCTGGCTGAGCCATCTAATAATGTCTCTGAGCTTGGCACCCTGTATCTCTAAGCCAGTGTTAAGATGGGCGAGGAATGAGGAGCTGCCGATTTGCCTTTAGTTGTGATGTTTGTGTGAGTCGGCTTGTTTGTTTCAGACTCAGATCACTGCACTTGCCTTTGCTTTCTTTGGAAGGGCGCCTGCATAGCTAAGGTGTCACTTGGTGAACAATTCCCATTTTAAGAATTGGTGGAGTTAACAAATATTTATTACTTATTGACCTATTGTTATATGCTAGACCCTGGGCTTGACATTTCCTTCCTTCCTTCCTTCCTTCCTTCCTTCCTTCCTTCCTTCCATCCATCCATCGTAAGACAACCCATATTGCCTGTTATGGAACAGCTGCCTTCAGGAGGGAAAGATGAGTGAGACCTATCCTCACCCTCACAGAGATGCAGTCTGGTGGTCTCTGGAAGAAGGAAATTGTGAAACTTACCGACTCCTTGGGAAAACAGGACAGGTACACAGGGACTGGCCTGTGCAGTGGGTGGGGTGGTCTCTCAGAGCTGTGCCAGTTCATAGGAGGAACTGAAATCTAGTTGGGAGTGAACAGAAACTCCCAACTTCTCTGTGTGACAGAGAAGATGGGATCTGCTCTGCATCTTGGAAATTGCCAAAGATTAGTAATGGTAAAGTGAAGACTGGTCTTGCAGAGGGAGGGGGAATGATGGTATTAGCAGAGGCTTCAAGTTGAGTATAAACATGGTGTGTTTGGGTGTTGAGCATGGTTTGCCTGGGATGGAGAATTGTTACTGGGGTTTGGGGGTGATACATTTGGATACCCAGGCCTGGATCAAATTATGGAAGGCACCGAACAGCAGTCTAAAGAGTCTGGATTTTGTTTGACAATGGGGAGCTACTGAAGGGCTTTCTGTACCATAAAGATAAGTTAAAAGTGTGACTTAGAAAGATTGGAGTACAGAGCCTGGTTAGAAAAGTAGTGCTGCAATATTCATGGTGTGAAGAGATGAAAGCCTGAACTATGGTGGTGCTATGCAGGTAGAGAAGAGGAGACAGATGTGAGAATCTGTGAAGAGAGCACCTGATTGGTGGGTTAGACTAGATTTAGGGGTGGGGAGAGAGAATGCGAGGGCTCTGAGGCATGAATAATTAGATGCTGGAACATTTTCCCTTTCCCTTCTGCTTCCCTATTTTCCCTCTATTTATTATCTATTTTGGTGTTTATTCCCATGTTGTGCATGCAAGGAAGGTGTGGGCAGCTGCTGATGTGGCCTCAAAAGTCTGTACCTCCTGGTGTTCATGCCCTTATGTAATCCTCTTTTCTTTAGTGTGGGCTAGACTTAGTCACTTGCTTATAACAAATAGAATATAGCAAAAGTGGTGGGATGTCATTTCTGAGGTTAGGGTACAGAATGGCTGTCACTTCTGTTACTCTCACTCTCTCTTGCATGCCCTGGCTTGCTCTAAGGGAAGCCCACTTCCATGTTGTAAGCTCCCCTATGGAGAGGCCTGTGTGGCAGGTAACTGAGGGAGGCCTCTGGTCATTAGCCAGTGGGGAACTGAGGCCCTCAGTACAACAGCCGATGAGGAGCTTAATCCTGCTATTAGCCATGTGAGTGGGCCACTTGCTGAGAGTCAGTGACTTGAGTTTCCGGAATGCTGTCTCCTCTTCTGGGAGCCACTATAAACCACTCAAAAACATCAAAGGTGGCTTGTCATCAGAAGTCAGGGCACCTCAGTTATAGTGAAGCAAATCAATAGCTCCATATTTTAACATGAGCTTACTTTCCCAGCGGAGTCTCTCAAATGGAGGTTACTACACAGGACCTTGAAGAGGGTCTGACAGCCCAAATATTATTTCCTTCTATTTGGGATGATTTTACTCTACAGCATAGTAAATTGTGGGCTAGGATCTAAAAGTGATTTAGCATCTCTACAAAAGAAGACTTTATATGCATTGCCATGTTTAATTGGTAACAGAATACATCTACATTGTTATAGTTAGTTATGGAGTATAATTGTGGAGTTGCTTTACTCTAAGCCTTCCCCAGTCACTCCATTGACTATAGATATAATAATACTGACTTGTTGAAACTATAACCCACCTATGACTGTGTTGGATAACATGACTGTCAATCAAATTGCATAACTGAGAGGCAGAGAATAAAGAAAGCATTGCTTATCAAACTACTAGACATTTACACTTGACTTTGGATGAAAATTGAGGTCAATTGGAAGTAATGTTCAGGTTTACATGCTGTATATGTATTATATACATATCAATACTCATATATCAACTATATATGGTGGTTAATTTTTTACAGAATTGAATTCCTTTTGGTAGTAAATAATTACAAATACTGTTAGAGGCAACAAGAATCTAATATATCCTTAATAAGGATAAAGTGACCTGTAAAACAGTAATTTAAAGCATATTAGTATAATGTCTATGTGATAAAACTATCTAGCAAAGGCAAAACACCCTCTTCCCCTCATGATTAATGTTTAGGGAGATAAAAGGGATGTAAATATTTTTATTGTTTTATTATCTTTCTTAGGAAAATGACAGTGTGGTTGGTTTAATTAAAAAGGAGAGTCTCCCGTAGACGAAATAAAGAAATCTGTTCTATGGAGATGACAATGGAAAATACCTATTTAATTTGAATAACACCTGGTTCTGTAGAAATGTGCATCTAATATGTATCCTGCATTCACTTAGTCTGATTCATGTGCTGTTTCACCACATTATTGAAAAGAAGAGAAGAGGGAATATTAGCTCTCTCATTAGAGGATATTAAACTCCTGCTGGGGTTGAGGCACCGTGTGAGCATCCTACTTCCTACCTAGTGTGTTGGGAGTTACCTGGAGGCAATGAGGAGAAAATGACATGTTCCATTAGAATGAGGCATCCCCGGAATTGTTTGATGTTCTTTGCCTTAATTGAATCCATCTATCCCATCTGCCACTCTTCTCTCTAAATTTATTTCCCTAACCCACTCTCCCTGAGAATTATAGTTTGGGGGAAATTTGTTACCTACGTTGTTACCTTTTATGAAAGCTCTCGGCATCTGGAGGGCAGGTGTGCCTTCTACTCTGCCTTGCTAGACAACTTTACCTGCCTCTTTCCTGCCCCTTGCAGGCTGCTGGATTAAAAACAGGACTGGATAAAAGGCCCCCAGTAGCAACAGAAGTGGGAACGAAAATAGAAATTCCAGGCTTTTACTTATTGGTTTCAATACAGATCCCTAGCCATGTGCCAGGCCTGGCTAACCATGGACTCTATTAATAAATATAACTACACAAACATTTGCATTCTGACTGGGGCAGAACAGCCAGCACGGGAGTGTGTTATCTCGAGGGAAAGCTGGTCTTAAAACTCTTGACTGATTCACCTGTGACTTTGGTCAGTCGGTGCTCCCTGGAACTGCTCTGGTGCTGAAGGTTGAGGTCATCTCTGTTCCCCAGAATGTGGCAGATCCAGCCCCATTCCTGACCACTATCCTTTTGCAAGGGTGAGACAGGAGCGATGATAACTTCTCTTTAGGATTCTTGTAGAAATCACTTTTGGCCCTTAACCTACATATAAAGAAAGTTAACATTAATGCACACATATTATTTTGAGCAAAGCCCATCCATATTTTCAAACCTACCATTTGCTATGGTGTGGGAGGCAGTACAGGATGGAGGCCAGAGCATAGGCTTGAGATGGGCAGGTGTGAATTAGAATTGCCCTTTAGTCATTTGCTTGAGAACCTGCCTTGATCCATCTGAACCTCAGGCTCCTCATCTCTGAAATGGGTAGTAAAGCTCTTCTCTTGGGATTGTTGTGAGGATTGAGATTCTGGGTACTGAGCCCCAGGCGTAGGGCTTGGCACACAGTGGACAGTGGTTCAATGTTCACTGTGATGATACTTCAGTTTCAGTGCATCATTTAGATAGCTGCCAGTCAGAGACAGGCTGACAGTCACCTAGGAGTAGCTCCTCTGGTTGCTTCTGAGACATCCTTCTGCTTAGAAAGGAAACTAAAGCGCTTCTCTCCTTTACATGAGCTGCTGGCCTGCATCAGTTATGTGGAGGCCTGTCTGAAACCTCTGCCCAAAACCTCCTCTTGACATATACATCATGGTAATACATAAATATACCTTTCTTCAGGAAAGGTCCTAAAAGACCATTTGCTATGCAGAGGAACTGCAAAATCCAGTTTGGTTGCAGACAAAACTGCCTTTGCATGATGAGGTAGATAGTTGTCTTAAAACTAAGCACAGAATGATTTCTGCTTGTTATTGTTTTCTTTGAAAAATGTGTTTCTTACATAAAAGAAACTTGACAGTAAATTTTGAAAATCATGTGATATGGTTTGGCTGTGTCCCCACCCAAATCTTAACTTGAATTGATCTCCCAGAATTTCCACGTGTTGTGGGAGGGACCCAGGGGGAGGTAATTGAGTCATGGGGGCTGGTCTTTCCCATGCTGTTCTTGTGATAGTAAGTAAGTCTTACGAGATCTGATGGGTTTATCAGGGGTTTCTGCTTTTGCTTCTTCCTCATTTTTCTCTTGCCACTGCCATGTAAGAAGTGCCTTTTGCCTCCCGCTATGATTCTGAGACCTCTCCAGCCATGTGGAACTGTAAGTCCAATTAAACCTCTTTTTTTTTTTGGAGACGGAGTCTTGCTCTGTCACCCAGGCTGGAGTGCAATGGCATGATCTTGGCTCACTGCAACCTCCGCCTCCCAGGTTCAAGCAATTCTCCTGCCTCAGCCTCCCAAGTAGCTGGGATTACAGGCATCTGCCTCCACACCTGGGTAATTTTTCTATTTTTAGTAGAGATGGGGTTTCACCATGTTGGCCAGGCTGGTGACCTCAGGTGATCCATCCACCTCAGCCTCCCAAAGTGCTAGTGTTACAGGCATGAGCCACCGTGCCCGGCCTAAACCTCTTTTTGTTCCCAGTTTTGGGCATATCTTTATCAGCAGTGTGAAAACAAATGAATACATTATGAATAAGCATGTTCTCCTCATGAGAAAGAATAGTGAAACAATAGAGATAAGGGAGAAATAACCCCTTCAAATGTGGTCACTCCTGTACCCCCAGGTCTGAAGGCATTCTTCATACCATTTTCTAGACATTTACCTACTGTATATGTCTGTCTTTAAAGGTATAGATGATATTGCTGTGTGTATTGTCTTTTTTTTTCTTTTTAATGTGAATAGTATCACTTTACCGACATTTTTCTATAATTTTCTTTTTTCACATGTGCTGTTAAATGTCATTATATATCGAAATACCTCATTCTTTTAAACTGCTTCATGGTATTCCATAAAATGTTCCAGGGTCTATTTATCTGCTATTTTTTATTTATTTATTTATTTTGAGACAGACTCTTGCTCTGTCGCTGAGGCTGGAGTGCAGTGGTGCAGTCTCGGCTCACTGCAACCTCCACCTCCTGAGTTCAAGTGATTCTCCTGCCTCAGCCTCCCAAGTAGTTGGGATTACAGGCACCCGCCACCACGCCCGGCTAATTTTTGTATTTTTACCAGAAGTGGGGTTTCACTATGTTGGCCAGGCTGGCCTTGAACTCCTGACCTCAAATGATCCACCCACCTCGGCCTCCCAAATATTTATCTATTATCTTATTGATAGACATTTGGGTTTCTAGTTTTTATGAAAAATAGGTAGTCAACATCTTTATTTTTATATATGCTTCCTGGGCACGTGGGGAAGTATTACTACCCAGAAATAGAATTGCTGGGTATGTGCATTTTTAATTTTAATGGTTCTGCCAGACTGTCTTCTGAAGTAGCTGAGTAATTTATACTTCCACTAGCAGTACAGAGATGTGCCCATTTCCTTAATTAATGCTCAACATTTTTAAACCTTTTAAATTTTGCCAATGTTATGAGTAAAAAAAAAAATTTGATTTGTATTTCCCTCATTTGTGGTGTGTTTTTTGAGCATTTTCCTCTCATGTTCATTGTATTTGTACTCTGTAAATTGCTGTTAGTATCCTTTGATGATTTGTCATTGGTATTTTTTAGATCTGCTTATTGATTTGTAGGAATTCTCTATGTATTCTCAATTTGGATCTTTTCTCTATTTGGAAATAATGTAATTTTCCAGCTTGTTGCTTTTCTTCTTTTGACTTTGTTTATGGCATCTTTTCCACACACACTTTTTCTCCCCTTTGGAAACAGTCAACATTTCAGGCTTTTCCTTGAGGCCTTTTGTTTTTTGTGTCTTGCTTAAGAAGACCTTCACTTCCTCAAAGTCATAAAATAGTTTCGTATATTTTGTCTTTATGCTTTATAGGTTTTTGTTTTTATATTCAGATCTTGGAAACTTTTGATTAATTATGTGAGGTAAGAAATTAATTTTCAATCTTTTTTCAAACAGTTGCCATTTATCCTCAGAACCATATATTGAATAGTTTATCCTTTCTCTAGAGATCTTTCTTATACTTATTTTCCAAACACCTGGGTCTGTTTCTGAGCTCTTTTTCTGTTCGTTGTTTGAACTGTTTTTTTTTTCCTGCATCAATTAATTACTCTTCTTTAAATAATATGCTTTGTAGTCTAAAAAAAAAACTTTTTCATTATAGATTTAGTGAATTCTATCTCAAAAAAAGTTTTTGTTTTTTTTTTTTAAATAATTCCTGGGAAGTGCGTTATACATGACGTTGTTCAACATTTGCCATGTCCAGAAGATCATAGGAAACAGAACCTCACCTCATGCCCACAGGATGCTGTAAAGATGGGCCCAATGACGACAGCCAGCTCGGATCTTGGTGAAGTTTCCGGTGAGATGATTTTCCAAGACAAATATCTCAGACTTAGGGAAATGAATTATTGAGAGATATTGTCTTCTAAGTATCTAAAAAGGCCAACCTCTGTGAGTGGTAGTTGGGAATTTTCTTGAATGATGTGGATGCTCCCAGCTGTCCATCAGGCCAGAAGAGAGAAAGTAGAGCCTTGGAAAGTGAAGGCTGGAGGAGAGGGAGAGAGCAGACCTGAGACAGGGCATGGAACCCCTGGGCTTCTCAGAGGGGAAGGGACTGAAGGTCTCTCTGGGTGGTGGGAGAGAAGCAGATGAACCCTGTGGGCTGGGAGCTGGGCCACGCAGTGTCTGGAAAGGGCACCTGTCTGGAATGACCAAGGTGTGACTCTGGAATCCTTCAAATCCAGTACCCCATTGTAAGGTTTTCTGTGTTGTCATTTCTTTTACTTTACCCAAGGTTTTGTTAAATGACCGAGCCTTCGATAGCTGTGCTATGGGAAACTAAATTATGAGTTTATACTTCTGTAGGAGTCACAACAGGAAAGCTGCAAGTATCCAGCTCATGCCAGCCCTGTGTGGTAACAGCACCATTATTCAAGAAAAGATGGCAGTGCTGGGACCCCGGCAGGCAGCCAAGTACCAAGTGAGCAGAGGGGGATGCCTGGGCCATGATGTCGTCCCTAACACTTGCCCCCAGCCCTACCTTTTAATACCCTGCAAAGGAGGAAATCCTGGAAGTGAGAAGCCAGAGTCTGGGTTTTATTTATATGACAGGAAGTAGAAGCTAGAACCTTTAAGGACATAGAACACCCATAGTAGAATTTAAAGTCCAGGTCTCCTTTGGTGGGAGGCCAGCTTGCTGTTTCCCAAGAATGATGCTACGGCCATGAATTTGAATTTCTGTGTAGGCCAGTGTTTCTCGACTGTGGGCAGTTTTGCCACCCCCTCCTCCCAGAGGACATTTGGCAATGTCTGGAGATGTTTTTGGTTGTCATGACTAGAGGGTGAAGGTGCTACTGACATCTAGCGGGTAGAAGCCAAGGATGCTGGTAAACTTCCTACAATGGAACACACAGGACGGCCCCTACCTCAAAGGTTGATCACATCTAAAATGATAGTGATGAGATCGAGAGAAACCCTGATGTAGACCAATTAATTTTAGTTTTTTTTTTTTCTTTTTCATTTCTAGATAGTAAATGCCTAACTCTCATCAACTACCTTGCACTGTGGGCTTCTTCAATCAGAAATCTAGTAAGAGAGTGTGATGGGGGCTGCGAGACCCATCATCACTACCAAAAAACCCAAAATCTTTTCACTTTCAATGTATGAAGAACTAAATTATATAATTGGATGAATGATATTGTAGAGTCAGAGAATGTGAGCTCTCCATCTTATGGTTATAGTTATTATGTGATAATCAAGTAACGTGGTCTTCTTTTATTGTCTTAATCTTTCACAAACCATTGCTTTCCTATTCCAATAGGAAGCCTGATCAGTGCTAAGACACCGATACTAGATAGCTCTTATTATTGCCAATGTATGGATGATAAAACTGAGGCTCAGAGGGGAAGTAAAATAAAGCATGGTTTCCCCCTACTGGTTTATTATATTCCAAAGTTATTAAACACCTGGCCAGTACTGCTGTGTAGGTTGTACACTGTACAATTGTGTCCCTTCTAAGGAGTCACTGTTCAAATCACAGACATCAGAGATTTATTATGATAATTTTTCTGGCAGATGGCAGTAAAGTAGCTTATTCTAACAAAATGGGGACTATAAAGACTATTTTCTAACAGATGGAAGTAGAGTTTTTGAAGCAGGTGAGCCTTTTCCTAAAGCTCACTCAGGTGCTAGATGGACTAGCAGAAGGAATGGTGTCATTGATGTCTCTTTGTATGTTTAACCAGTTCATCTGGGAATTTTAGTTTTTGCTTGAAAAGGAGTCACCCTGTCTTGCCAGCCACGTGTGTGGTTATACGTTGGTATTGCAGAGTGATGCCATTTGCAAGTAATACATTTGAGTTGGCAGATTTCCCAAGGTTTCTTTTGTGTATGAGAAACATAGTGTCTTGGGTCATGGAATAAATAAAAGAGCCTCGGTATCTAATTTTGGTTGTTCACACTGCAGTTAGGGCTTAAGTCATTGTAAGCTCATCTTGGAAGAAAGAGACATCGACATTTATATTAGTTTAATAAATTTGGCAGCGGGGAGGTGCAAAGAATGTTATTTCAATTATAGATTGACCCATGATTGATTTAGCAACATGCGTTGCTTAGGTTGTGATCGATGCCAAGTAATGGCAGGTGCTGGACTCTTAGGAGGGTGGGCACAAATGTTGGGGAATTGATCAATGGATGAGCTCCATATTGGCCGTCTACAGGGAGAATCAAAATACAAGTAAAATATTATAAGATGGGAGTGACAGCATTGCAGATGTTAACACAGCCTGTCCAAGCTTTTATCCTTTGTACCTATGCAGCCATTTTTTAACACGAGACACTATTCTTCAACAGATTTGTTCTCTTCTAAGTTTGTTCTGAATCTGTAGTGTGTGTCATTTCATGATGTTTTAAAGGGGAAAAGGCCTTGCTTCAGTTGAGAAGGCTTTTATTTTTCCACTTACGCAAATACCCTGGCATTTAGGGTATTTGGCTAATTAAAAAAATTATCTCTTATAATGCCTTGTTACTACCCCAGTTTGCGTTGGAGGTGGAGTATACAAAGGAATTGCAACCCCCACTTTATAAGCGGGCTAAGAGGGGTTGACAGACTTACCTTGCCTGGCCGAGTGCCAAGTGCCACGTGGTATAGACTAAGAATAGTTGTTTCTTACGAGGAGCTTATTTAGTTTGAGGGAGATTGTGTACAATCAATAATTAGGAAACAGGATAGCCTGTGAGAAGATGCTGATCTGATGTGCAGGTAATAAATGTCACAGGAGGCTGAGCAGCACGGATGACTGTGGTGGGCAGCAAAGGCTCAGGAGCGAGGAGAAACTTGAGCCCGGCTGTGAAAGGCAAGGAGGATATAAATAGCTGGTGGGCAGAGCGACCCAGGGCTGAAGGATGCGAATAGTGGCCATCTTAAGTAAGAGCCTCAGGTCACGGAGATAATAGTTCCCTGTATAAAGTCCTTAGTGGAAACAGGTGAGTCTCAGGAAGTTTGGAATCATGAAGACTTTAAAAGAGTTGCACAATGTTTCCAAGATTAAAATCTGCAATGTGACATAGTATAGCTAATAATACAGAGTGTTCTTAGTCAAGTGGTATATTTCTTTTTTTTTTTTTTGAGATGGAGTTTCACTCTTGAGATGGAGTTTCACTCTTGTTGCCCAGGCTGGAGTGCAATGGCGCAATCTCGGCTCACCGCAACCTCCGCCTCCCGGGTTCAAGTGATTCTCCTGCCTCAGCCTCCCTAGTAGCTGGGATTACAGGCATGTGCCACCACGCCCAGCTAATTTTTTATTTTTAGTAAAGACGGGGTTTCTCCATTTTGGTCAGGCTGGTCTTGAACTCCCAACCTCAGGTGATCCGCCCACCTTGGCCTCCCAAAGTGCTGGAATTACAGCCTTGAGCCACCACGCCCGGTCTCAAGTGGTATATTTCTTTGAGAAATACTTTTTTTCAAGAACAAATCTCTAAATTAGGGCTCTGTCAATCCAAACGAGCTAATTAGGTGAGAAAGATGAAGTTTTCAAGATCCTTTAGCCATCTGGTTGGCATGTTTAAAAACTACACCCAATCGTACTGATAAAAGGGTAGTCTCTACATTTGTGGCTTACCCTTGAACACTCCAACACAGGGTCGTTTTTGGAGACAAAGTATTTAAAATTTTCATTCTAAGTAAGCTGACCAAACAGCTGAGTCTGCCTAGGGAGTCCTGGATTATGCTACTTGTCCCAGTAAAGGTATTAATAGCTTCCCCTTTCAGAATCAAAAGTGTCCTGGTTTAGATGATAAATTGTATGGCTACCCTAATTTTAAATGATGCACTTTAGTCTTTTTTGTTTACTCTGTGAGTTGTCAGTGGCCAAAAAGGATGTTTCCAGCTTAAGAGTATTTGCCCACATGTGCATCCTGTTTATGAAATAGTTGTATTTTTTCCCCGGCATAGAAAGCAATCATTGCAAAAAAATTTAGAAGGAAATGAAAGGCATAAATAAGAGTTAGAAGCCTATGAATAAGTGTTAATATTTTGATATATATGTAATGCCACACATTATCAATAATATATTTATATACCTTTAGATCCCCAATCTCCAAACCAAGCCACTTTATATATATTAAATATCTAGAACTGTATGATAACATAGCCAATATAGATCAATATACTCACTTTTTAAATAATCACTTTTAAAGACTATAATATTCTAGTGATTCGTTCTTAAACTATAATATTTTTAACTAATCCCCAGTTTTGGCATTTAGGTTTTTCAAATATTTCTATATATTATTGACAGTGCTGCAATAAATGTTGTGTGTAGCTAAATCTTTTTGCACATCTACGATTGTTTATTTTTCTTTTTTCTTTTTGAGATGGAGGCTTGTTCTGTTGCCCAGGCTCACTGCAATCTCCGCCTCCTGAATTCAAGCTGTTCCACTGCCTCAGCCTCCCAAGTAGCTGGGACTACAAGTGCCCGCCACCATGTCTGGCTATTTTTTTTTTATTTAATCTTTTGTGATTTTAGTAGAGACAGAGTTTCACCATGTTGGCCAGGCTAGTTTCGAACTCCTGACCTCAAGTGATCCACTTGCCTCAGCCTCCCAACGTGCTGGGATTACAGGTTTGAGCCACCGCACCCAGCCTATGATTATTTCTTTAGGATGGTTTTCTGTAAATGAAATTGCCAGGTCAAAGTGAATGCACATTTACAGTTTTGAAATTGTCAAACCTTGCCAGGGTGTGTGAGGATTCCCATTTCCTCATGGCCTCATAGGTGCTATACGGATGATTCTTTTTCGTCTTTCAGTCTGAGGAATTTCACCTCCAGCTTATTTCAGTTGTATCTCTGCTTATTGATGATTTGTATTTCATTTTTTTGTAAATTGCCTACCTTTCTTTTAGAGTGTTCACCTTTCTCTTAATGAATTGTGAAAGCTCTTTATATTTTAAATAAAATACCCCTATACATTATAAATTGCGAGATTTTTTCCTGACTTGCTATTTGTCTTTTAACTTTATTTATGGTAGATTTATGTGTATACAGATATGGTAGATTGATGTGGGTTCAGAAGTCTTTACTTTTTATACAGTTATAGCTATCAGTCTCTTCATTTACAGAGTTTTGTACTTTTTAAAAGGACCAGGTTTCCAACAAAATTAACCTGTGAAACTTTTACAGTCTTATCTGATGCTGTAAACCCCTTGATCTCCTTGTTTCCGGCTTCATAGTATGGGCATTGTAGATAGGTGAGATAATTTTTTTTTTTTTTTTTTTTTTGAGGCGAAGTCTCACTCTGCCGCCCAGGTTGGAGTGCAATGGCCGGATCTCAGCTCACTGCAAGCTCCGCCTCCTGGGTTCACGCCATTCTCCGGCCTCAGCCTCCCGAGTAGCTGGGACTACAGGCGCCCGCCACCTCGCCCGGCTAGTTTTTTGTATTTTTAGTAGAGACGGGGTTTCACCGTGTTAGCCAGGATGGTCTCGATCTCCTGACCTCGTGATCCGCCCATCTCGGCCTCCCAAAGTGCTGGGATTACAGGCTTGAGCCACCGTAGGTGAGATAATTTTTGTTTCCGTTTCCGTGGTTCATTATATCCTTCAGAAGGGGTTTAGCCACTTTGGAAATTAATTCACAGAGAAGTTACTGCAAGTAAGAACTAGTGATGAGCATTCTTTTCCTCAACCACAAAATAGAACCACACGTGCCTCTATTTGTATAATAGAAGGCCGTAATGGGAGTCAAAAGGGACTAGTTTGTTGAGAATCTTGCTGAATATATCATATTGTCCCATTGATGTGCTTTATAATTGCACTGATGTGTTTTCCAGAAAACTGTGGCACCAACCCAAGATTCTAATACTTAGTCAAGAAAATGCTACAGCCTGTTGTAGCTCCCCCAGAGCAAGCAGCTCTCCTTGGAATGGCGTCCCCAGGCTTCACGGCAGAGTTCTTATACCATGGTCAGGAGGGCGTGCCCCACAAGTACACATCCTGCTCTAGCTAGGACCATTGTGCCTGAGTTTGCATCTGTGCTGCATCCTTTGCTGATGTGCTGGCTTGAACCACATGTGAATCTCAAAAACCCCTTCTTTGTCTTTGAAGGTAGACTTGAACATCCCGCTTTGCCCTCGGCCCTTTACTGTGCCTGTTTGACCTTCTCAATGCTTACACCAGGGGTAGGGAGAGAAGAGAATCCCTCCTTCCTCTCCACCTTATAGTCTACTATAAGGTGGACTACCTTATAAGAGTCCACTTAGTTGTCCTCAGCCTCACCCCTGCTTCCATCAGAGTCCCTTTTCTTGTGGACTGAGGGAGGGGAGGTCTTGAGCACCATTATAGCACCACTGTGATGCTGAGACAGGGCTTCACGTTGGCCCTCAGCTTTCAGAGCCTTTCCCCCTGCACTCACAGTGGGGACCCTGGGATCTACCCCAGGTGCAATCTCAGGGTGCCAAACCCCATTATCTGATATCTCAAGAGAACTCCATCATGGTGGGGTGTCTTGGGGATGAAGACCAAGGAGCAAATGTTTGGTTTTGATAAGAAATTATAAAAGAGCAATAAATGTGCTAACTGTAGAATAACCTGCTCCAACAGCAGGGAACCAGAAGTCTGGGGTCCAGACCAGGGGCTTGAGAATAGTTTTTATTATGAAATGACCCTGTTAGGGGTTTGATTGGCCTCCTCCCAAGATGCTGTACTTTTATACGAAGTGCATCAGGGGTCCCTTCTGTTTGGGGAAGATAAACTCATTTCCTCCTGCCTATTCAGTGCCATTTGGTCTCCCTCTCCCATCCTCCTATTCAGTAGCCAAAGAACTAATTTGGCTACAGTACAACCCTCTTCAGAGTGTTGGGGAGGAAAAGAAATCAAATATGAACAAAGCCCACACCCTCTGTAGTGGGCAAAGCTTGTTTGTAAATAATTTTAGTCTTATTGCTCATTCAGTAATTCTGTATCCCTCCCAATAGGTATTGGCAGCGTGTCAGATGGCCACCAGTTACGAAGAGCTTCCCCGTTTCTGAAACCCCTCAGCTTCTCAAGAGTCTGTGAACTGGAGAAACCAGTTATGCTAAAGGAGTCATAGACCCATTCTTTTCTCTTTTTGAGGGCTGGGGTGGGGAATGGTAGAGCGGAACAACATCTTCTATTCATCTACTCCTTCAAGAAGCATTTACGGAGCTCTCCTCTGTGGCAGGCCCTACCCGAGAGGTGGAAAAGAGAAATCTGGACACATGGTATGTCTCGGTTTTCCAAAGGCATTTCACGAAATCAGTAAGAAACTCTGTTGGGCTGAATGGTGGCCCCTGAAGATATCAGGTCCTAATACTTGAAACCTATGAATGTTACCTTATATGGTAAAGGCTTTGTAGAGGTGATTAAGTTAAGGACCTTGAGTTGGAGAGATTATCCTGGATTAGCCAGTTAGGCCCTAAATGCCATTAAATGTATCCTTATATAAGAAGGAGGCAGAGAAATAATGACATGCACAGAGGAGAAAGCGATGTAAAGATGGAGCAGGAAAGATTTAAAGATGCTGGCGGTGGAGATTGGAGTGAGACAGCTACACACCGAGGAACACTGCAGCCAGGGGGAACTGGAAGAGGTGGAGAACAGATTCTCCCCACAGAGCTGCTGGAGGAGTGAGGTATTCTGGCCCGTTGATTTTGGCCCACCGAAACAGGTATGGGACTTCTGGCCTCCAGAACTATGAGAGAATAAATTTGTGTTTGTTGACTCCTCCAAACTTGAAGTAATTTGTTATACAATAGTCCCAGGACCATCCTTGCAGGTAAAATGGAGACATGGGTCTAGAAGACAGTGCAAGTAGGTGTCAGGGTATTTGACCAACTCTGTCAATTATTCAATCATGTGGGAAATACTTACTGAGTGACTGCAGTGCTCCAGGCATTAGAGCAATGGATAAGGCAGACAATATCCCCGTTGACATTGGGGTAGGGGGAAGGAGCAGGTAATAAACAGGTAAATGAAAAATGTGAACAAGATAACTTTAGTGATTGACAAGTGCCTTAAAGAAAACAAAACAGAGTAATGTGGAGTAGGGGACGGGGATCCTTTTAGACTAGGTAGTAGGAAACCCTTTCTGGTGAGAAAGCCTTGGAGCTGAGTCCTGAAGATCGTGGAGGAGCTACCATCTGGAGAGAGAGCATTCCAAGTAGAGTGAGCGGCAGGTGCAGAGGCTCTGAGGTGGGAATAAGCGTCCTGTGTGTGAGAAGCAAACAGAAGGCCCAGACCCCTCTAAGTCAACAGGGAGGTCATTGCTCAGGGAGGGCTGCTGGATTCTGTCCTAGGCTCTGCCCTGTACAATTTTCATTTTTTATAATTAAATTGGAAGAAAACGCATCATAAATGTGCAGGCAATATAAAGCTGGTAGGATGTATATTGGGTTAGAGTCAGGTGTTGAGTTTCAAAACACCTTGACAGGCACGAACAAAACGATGAACTTCAACAGGGACAAATTGTGAAATCCTGACTTGGGTCTAGAAAAAGTATTTGCCTAAGTCAAGAATGGGAACCCGACTTGAGTGCAGTACTGGTGTGAAGTCCCTGAAGCTGAGTGTCAGCACATAGCGGGATGTGACTGCCATAAAAAAGTCAAGCACTTTTACAACTTTTTAAAACTATGGAGTACAGCTCTAGGGAGGAGGTAGCCAGGAGTCTGTTTGTGGAGGACTGAGTGGGTATCACATTTTATGGGGTCATAGAAACAGCTCATTATTTGTTTATTCAATTAATGTTTAATGAGCACATATTATGTGCCTGGCACTGACTAGGCTTTGGGGTAAATAACAGTGAATAGGATAGAAACATTTGATGACTTCATAGAACTTACTAATTCTAGGGAGAAGATAGACATGGCAGACTTAATTATGTACCTATCTTTTTCACTGTATTAGATTTTTTCAGATTATAAAATTATAGTAATAAAATAGCAATATCAAATATTACTGAAATATATAACAATAGGAAAAAATATGCCCTGTCAACTCATCCTCCCTCCCCAGACACAGCCACTGTCAACCAGTTTGTGCATATTTTTGCAACTTTTAAAAATATACATGCAATGTATTTTTAAAGCATACAAGGGGAACCATACACTTCTGAATTTTGTTTTTTAGCTTCATATATCTGGGATGTCCTTTCACATAAACACAAGGAAATCTACCTCATTCTTTTTAATGTCTGAATAATATTTCATGCTATGGATGTATTATAGTTTATTTGACTAGTATCTTGTTGATAGATATGTGTACTGTTTCCATTTTCACTATTATAAGGATTTGCAAACAATTGTTCTACATACCTTTTTATATAGCCTATGGTCATATTTCTAAAGGACAAATTCATAGAAGTGGGAATACTGGCTGGGCGTAGTGGCTCACGCTGGCTCACTGCGACATCTGTAATCCCAGCACTTTGGGAGGGCGAGATGGGCGGATCACCTGAGATCAGGAGTTTGAGACCAGCCTAGCCAACATGGCAAAACCCTGTCCCTACTAAAAATATAAAAATTAGCTGGGTATGGTTGCGTGTACCTGTAATCCCAGCTACTCAGGAGGCAGAGGCAGGAGAATTGCTTGGACCCAGGAGGTGGAGGTTGCTGTGAGCCGAGATCAAGCCACTGCCACTGCACTCCAGCCTGGGCCACAGAGCGAGACTCTGTCTTGCAAAAAAAGAAAAAAAAAGTGGAACTACTGTGTCAAAAGGTATGGAAAATTTAAATGATAGATACCATGTTTCTTACCAGTGAGGATGTACCTCAATGAGAGTGCAAATGAGACCACATGTTTTCTTGCAGTCTCAACATTCCAGGCAGTGTAGACAGTGCAAAAGGTCCTGTGGTAGAGGGAACCTGGTGTATCAGCAGGACTGAAGATCCCGTGGGGGCAGAGAGCAGAGAGCCAGGTGGGGAGTGAAGAGGGAGGCATGGGCCAGACCTTGTAGGGCCTTGTGATTCATCTTGAGGGTTTTGGTCCTTATCCCAAGAGAAAGGAGAAGCCAAAGGGAATTTCATGCAATCTGACATGATGAGATAGGCATTTTGAACAGGTGCCTCTGGCTGCCATTATGGGGAATGGACTGGGAAGATGGAAAAGTAGATGTGAAGAGCACCTGGGGTAGCTGTTTCGGGAGTCCAGGTGAGAGATAATGGTAGCCTGGACTCGGGTGGAGGTGGCCATGGAGAGGAGTGGTTATATTTAACAGTTTTTTAGGCCATAGAACTGATGGAAGCTGATGCCTGAGTGGGCTGAGGTGGGGACTGAGGAAGAAGGCAGTGTCCTGGAAGAAAGATGGAATGGGAGTTATCATTGGAATGATGAGATGTCAAAGGAGCCAGTGATGATTGGCCAAAAACATGAAGATCCAGAGGAGACACCTGTTTTAGAGAGCAGCCTTTGCACCCTTGTCTCTCAGGCCCACAGCTCCATCAAAGGCAGGCTGACTATGGGATTCTGCCACCATGGCCACAGTCGATTGGAGTGGGAAAGTACCTGAACCATGGCCATAACGTGGTCTGGGGTAAAAGCCTGCCCACGAAGGCGACAGTGCCAAATGCAGCTGAGGAGATGTCCTTCATGGAGTTTGAAGGAGAACCCAAGTGAGTGACAATGTTTGGAGGTGGGGAGTCAGAAGAAAGTCCACACAAGGAGAGGGCAGGAAATGGAAGTCATAAGTTAAAGTCACAAGGAAAGAAGGAGAGAAGAGAGAAGCAGGTGCAGGAGAAGGGGCTGAAGACCCACAGAGCGCTAGAGAGGGATGGATGACCTCTGTCCCCGGTATGACTGAGTGCTTAAGAGCCAGGCTTTCAAGCTGAGCGGATCTGAGTTTGATTTCCCACCTCTTGTGCTAACTAGCTCAGTGACCTTGAACAAGCCACCCAACTTCTCTAAGACTGTTCTGTTCATAGACATTAAAGTATTTATTTCTTGGAGTTGTTGTGAGCTTTAAAGAGATATGCATGAATACCAAAGAAGATATTTACAACACAAAACCACTAGAGAATTGGTCTCCAGACTTTTTGAAAAAAACAAAAGTCTTTTACAAATCAGTAAGAAAAAGGCAGGCAGCCCAGTAGATAAACAGGCAAAATACTTAAACAGACACTTAACAAAAGAGGATAGTAAACTGGTCAAAACAATGAAAAGATGATAGACATCATTAATAAAGAGAAACACAGTGAGATTCCTTATGCAACATTGTGGACAAATCCTTGAACACCACGTTGAGCAAAAGAAGCAAGATAGAGATGAATGCATGAAGTATGATTCAATGTATTTAAAGTTTAAAAGACTGGACATTAAAACTCCAATTAAATATTTCATACTCTCATCAGAGGGGCATATATGAAAAACTGGATGATACCAACTGTTGGTGAGGATACGGTACAACAGGAAATCTATATGCTGCTGATGGAATGTAGGTTAGTATAACCATTTTGGAAAACACACTGACATTATCGAATAAAACTAAAAACATGCACAGTACACAACCCAGTAATTTTGTTCTTGGGTGTGTGTATATAAGAGGAACTTTTCACATATACCATGTATACATATACATATATTATATGTATGTGTATAGACATATACACACATACAAGCATGTTCATAATTTTATTGCTATTATGGCCTCAGAAACAATGCAAATATCCATCAACTGTAGAATGAGTAAATAGATTGTGATATATTCACATAATGGAGTACTATACAGCACTGAGAGGGAATGAACTATGCTATAGAGAAGAATATGAATGAATCTTATAAACACGATGTTGAATAAAAGAAATAATATGGGCCGGGCGCGGTGGCTCAAGCCTGTAATCCCAGCACTTTGCGAGGCCGAGATGGGCGGATCACAAGGTCAGGAGATCAAGACCATCCTGGCTAACACGGTGAAACCCCGTCTCTACTAAAAAATACAAAAATCTAGCCGGGCGAGGTGGCGGGCGCCTGTAGTCCCAGATACTCGGGAGGCTGAGGCAGGAGAATGGCGTAAACCTGGGAGGCGGAGCTTGCAGTGAGCTGAGATCCGGCCACTGCACTCCAGCCTGGGCGACAGAGGGAGACTCCGCCTCAAAAAAAAAAAAAAAAAAAAAAAATAATATGTGTGATTTTAGTTTAGAATTCAAAAATAAGCAAAACTGTATATAATATAGTTATATATTGATATTATATAGCACAGACTGTTGAGGAAACTATTTTAAAGAAGTAAGGAAACAATGATCACAAACATCAGAGTAGTGGTTACATCTAGGAAGGGAGGGGCCCTGGGGCCTGAAGGGAGTGCTCAGAGCGAGAGGACTCTGCAGTGCTTGAGCATTTTCTGTTTCTTAACAGAGCAGGTAGTTACACAAGTGTTTGCTTTGTGATTGTTCATTATACTGTACATTTGTTTTGAACACTCTAATCTAAGAGTATTTTATTCCACAATTTAAACACTTTAAAAAAAAAAAAAAGATAGCTAACAGTTGTAAAATGCTTGGCATGGTGCCTGGCCCATATTAAGAGCTCAACAGATGGCAATTTTATTTACTGGTATAACCCTGTTGTTAGAGCCGCATTGTATCCTAAGCAACCTTCCAGCTCCTGAACCAGCTCTAGTCTCCATGTGGTCTGGCTTTGAGGTTGAGATTCCAGATCCCTCTGTTTCTCAGGGTGGCC